AAGCCAACAACCAGATGATCAAAACAGAACACAATTCAAGGGTAACAGAAAACCAATAAACAACAAATTGATGAGAGGCCAGTCTCAAACCCATGACTGGAGGATATCAGTTTCAGAGCCATAACCTCAACCCAATGAGCTAAGCAGCAGTCCTGGGAGCAGTGGAAACACACAAGGGTTTTTAGATAAGGAGTGCCAAGACGGAATGCCCAGTTATACTTACTGGCCAAACAGGGAAGAGACATGAAGGGCAGGATCAGATGGGCATTGACTATGACACAACATCTACATCTCGGGGTCCTCCCTTGTCTGTTGTCTGATTTGGTTAAGTTTTGACTGACAGCATGGCCTTGTTGACCATCTAGAGTCTTCATCGTTTTGAATTTAACCAGTTCAATTCAATTTATTTTTACATAGTGCCTTTCACAACAGAGTCACCAGAAGGCGTTTTACATGGGTATGTTGTGATGCATTACAACATCATAAGACAGAATAATTCATAGTAGTGAAGAGGAAAGACAAAGGTATGAAAGAAAGAAAGCCAGATGACAATAGAGGAGAGGGACCCAAAACTCCCAGTTAGGGAGAACGAAAAAACCTCTGGGGGTCCAAGGTCAACTGGCTGCCCAAAACCCCAGGAATGTTAACATTATTGAAAAAGAAAGAGTGGGTTTGTTTGCTAAAAGGTGTAAACTGTGATCAAGGTCAAAGGCAAAGTCCATCAATGAGCCGATTCTCCATGCTGGCCTGTGTAGGGTGGCAGATTGAAGGCTGCACCCACAATGTTACAGTTTGTAAGTCACAACCACAATGGCCCTTCTATGGAACTAAAGAAGGACTCCAGCTCAGATAGTGCCCACCCCGGGCACCATCTGGACATGTGGGCAGAGAGCATGGGTGGTCAGAACATGCATAGAGACATTAATGGACAAGCAGAGTAGATTAAAATGGCATGTACAGCAGCTCTAGCAGCCATAGTTGCTGTGTGTTATGTGTTAGGAGCAGGTAAGTTAAACTGAAGTAATAGATCTTAATCGAAATTTATAGACTGCGACTGATTTGGCATCCCAAACATGAGCTGGCAAACCATTTCACAATATGGAGACTGTGCTCCTCAGAACTCGGCGACCCCACTCTGTTCCTTTAGGAGGTCTGCCACTTTGTGGCTGAGTTTCTGTTGTTCCTAAACATTTCCACTTTGCAACAATACCATTTACAGTTCACTGTGGAATATCGAGCAGGAAAGAAATTACCCAAGGTAACTTATTGCAAAGGCGACATGCTATGACAGTACAATGTTTGAATTCACTGAGCTCTTCAT